AATTGGGAGAACCAATTGCGCGTGGGATAAATTCAATCCTTTATTGACGACAGAAGAAAAACCGAAACGACAAAAGAAAAATCTAATATCTCAATATTGATAGAATTTTCAAACATATCGAGAGGCAGAGTTGAACAAAATGTAATCTAACTACGAAATTCAAATCACAATTACAATGTAATTGCTGGACAATTAGAACTGCAATTACAATGACATTGTAATTAACTGTACTAAATTTACAATAAAAATTACATTGTAATCTTTACTATAAATTTAGTATAGCTAATTACAATGTAATTGTAAGTGTCTACCAATTACATTGCAGTTACATTCTAATTGTGATTTGGAGTTTGTAATTAGATTACATTTTGCCCAACTCTGCCCCATGGCCTGGAGAACTTAATTTTTCTTTTTCCCCGTTTTTAGAATCAATACGTCACTATAAGTATTCCAAAAGACATTTATAGAATTTTAATGGGAATTATCGCTCTCATCATGAGAATTGTCGTTTAAGTAAATACTTAGAATATTTGAAACCGTGGACGACTAGTACCAAACTGTTCCTTTAGATGACACTGGTGTAGGTAGATAAATTCATTTAACATTTGATTAAAAGGACCTGGGCGCTATAGTTCCCAAGGTGGTCGCGAGATTCGGCCATTTTAGGAACTACAGTTCCCATCCGTACCAAATGTGCTAAAGAAATAATATGTTCCTGTGAGTGTATTTACGATAGTTTACACAGATGGACCAAGTGTCGTTGAAGCACATGCGTATAAAATAAACTGTTCATTCCGACCGTGAAGTCCGTGAATAATGGTTCTAATATCGAACACAAGGCTGGAGATCTGTATTTAAAGTTCGGAAATTCGAGCAATCGAGATCAATAAGATTCGATCGGATCGTAAATCACGGGGTTCGTGGGATATCTATCGCTAATGTTGGTTTTGATACGACCACTACGGGGGGTCCTGATTTTTTAGGTCGTTTGCTTCTTCCGGCGTGTATGGATAGTGTTTGGAACGGTTTACACCTGACGTCACGAGCCGATTATTTTGCTTGACCGTAATAGTTTATTTTTTTGTGAAAGAGAATAATGGCATAGCTACATCGATTTGTTCCTAAAATTGCCGGGCTTAGAATCCTCGAACCTTGGCGCCTGATGCGAGATTAAGAGCATTTGTCAGACCGTCGTTCTCTCCTCTTTGCCGTTTAGAACGCGGTCTGTCTGTGATGTTAGTGGCCGAAACTCTTCAGAAAGTCGATAACGTATGCGTATAGAATGAATACAGACGCATTTAAACTGTTGCCATGCTACGTTGCGATAAAATCATTTGACGTCAAGACCATGTAACGATTTACTTGTCGTTCTAGTCTGTAATTTGACGAGTATAATTTTTTACTCGTGTCAAGTTACAGTTCCTCTTGTACTGTCCCCACTCTATTTTTTATTACTTGTTTATTATATTATTATGTGTTATATAACTCATATATTATACCTTATTATATAAATAAACAGAAATACAAGTTCAAGATAATCATTTTTCTTTACCAAGTACGGCTTTAAAATTCACCTTACCATTCAAGGGTTAAGTTTTATTGCAATACATTCTCTATCTCTTTATTTCTTGCCAGAAATGGAGGAATGTAGCAGCGGTACCCAGAAAAAATGATCCACAATAGAAGACCAACGCTTAACACACCATTTATTCTTGTAACTATAGATCTATATATTATTTCCAAAAACGAGATACTAGAACACAAACATCACGTTATTCTAGTCTCGCAGAACAGTGAGACCAGCGACCCTAGTATCCTCATTACGACCGCTCTGCCTCTCCCACCAATAGTCCCGTCTATCCCACCGGAAACGAAAGATAACATAACCTAGAAAAATATCCGCGCTTCGTTACATCAAACCACGCGTGTTATTCCGCCATTCCGTTCTCAAATTTACATTCTGATGATGGTAACGAGAGGAAACGTGTGTGTGGGATATTGTAGCGGAAATTGTTCGGAGAAAGGCAAAATCATTTCTCGCCGCTAGGCCAATAGAATTAAAGGTTATATTATATAAGTCTGCGTGAAATATTACTGCACATCGTTCAAAAGAAAGTCTGTATTCAAGACGATTACAGATTTCTAATCGTGTTCGCGACTACTCTCGATCCATGCTGGATACCAAGTGACTTCCTGACACTTCTTTTTTTTTTCCAGGAAATTCATGCGGTACCGGAAGTTATTCCAATCGGTCAATTGGTCATCGTCGTAGATTTATGGTGAAGCAGTTCACACGGGACGCAAATTTTAGTGGTTACCAGGCGATAAATTCACGCTCGTCCCGTGTATGAACTGCTTCATATTGTTTGATGACCAACCTAGGTACCTATTGACTTTGATTCACCCTATGAATAACTACGATCACGCTGCTCTGTTCTAAACCACTTAGCCACCCTTATTTTTCCCAATGTTCGAACTCCTACTTACTCATCCTGTACTAAAGCCCACAAGCATCCTCTTCCCACCATAGAACGATAGTATACAGAGGGATAGATACATAGATGTATGGGATAGTGTACATAGGGTATAAGACCCTAACTTAGACCTCATTCAGACAGATACTTGAGAACTCCGAAACTTTTTAGTTTGCAATTAGACTCTTACGACACTCTATTACGTGTAAATGAATAAACCTCTTCAAGACTTTTTAAACATATTGCACTCGATTCCGCAATTCGGAATCCAACAATACTGTAAATACTCGATGAGTGTTCGAAGGTTCCTCGACACTGACAGGGAAAGGTCCCCAGATTGAACTTTTAATGAGATTTAGCCAAATATGGCCATTGGTTTATGAAATATTTAATGTTCAATACCGAGGAGCCTTCGAACACTCATAGAGAACTTACTATATAAACGTATTACTGTATAATTGTACATATAATTTCTGAATCAGCCCTAACCACAAAATCTCAAAAAGGCAAAACATGCCTTCCCCAAGAACTCTAATTTCTATTTACAGTTTCTCTTATTTAACCATGTAGGTTTTCCAACCTGGCTTTCTCGTAAAATAACTTTGCTGAGACGCGTGTCATAAATCGAGCCAACCACTGCAAATGTTCTTACTTGAGCGTGCCACTATGGCCACTACAAAATCAATGGTGGACAGAGTCCGATCTTTGACCAGACCCTTCCCGAATGAAGACGCATCGTCCTCTCGACGGCTTGCACCGTTGCGTCGTGTGTCGGCACGCGATACCGAATATTCGGAATCGATATGGGTTACATCAACCTGGCCGATATTACAGATACATGTGTGTTGTCCTTCCCCCCGCGCGGACACAAACAGAATCGCTACGTAGCCTGTGTACGTAATGCGGTTTAATATAGACCGATTGTATACGGCGTTGGTTTCGGCGGGGAGGCCAACCGCGGGTAGATTGTATCTCGACGCGTCGGGCAAGCAGCAGCAGCAGGGCCGAGGGAAAATATCTGACAGGCCACACGCGGGTCGAATGTCGTGAGACGAAACGCCGGCCGGAAACCGTGGTAGCCACACAGCCTGTTTCGATTAAGGACAGTAGGGGGAATCGTAATCGAGGGAGGAACCTCTTAAAGAATCGATTCCTTGGAAGGGCTTTCTAGTATACAGTATACATATAATATTTAAACTGCTTGACGTGCATGCTACTACTAACTTACAATTGTTTCTGGAGTCAGACAGACACGTTATAATCTGTTATTTATTATTCTACATGGGTTAGTAATGAATAGACTGCGGATTTTATGCATTTATAGCCTACAGGGGTCTGTAAAATACAGTAAAGGACAAAACTTTGATCAGATACAATGATATTTCTAGTTTATTCTATTTATGAATTGCTATAGGAAATATTATTTTGCATAAAAGTCCTCAGTGTAAACTCCGTTTCGACGGGATCTGAGGCCGTTCATTGGTTGAAGATCGGCTGAAATAGCGAGCTCACGTTTTGAGCATAGTTTCAAGAGTATCACGAAGACATCGTGGAACAATAAGTCCTCGGTTGGTAGACATAATCGCGCGATATTTCAGTTATTGTTGCTGGATTTAAGACTGTCTTCCATTAAATAACGCAGCACATGATCCGTGTGTTCGTATCAATATACGCGAAGATTGCACCTGAGATAATGCAATTTCCCAATTTCTTCTCTTTCACTTGAACCTCGACCACACTGTCTTTATCCATACAACAGAAGCTTAGAATAACGCCCTCGCCAAAGTTATAGCAAATGTATCCAATCAACGTGGATCTGTAAATCAGCGTTGATGAAGACCAAGGGAAAATCTCCGAGGACTTCTGTGTCAGATTGTCACAGAAGTCGGAGTTATCGGTGTCATCTCCCAGGAGGCAGTCCTGCGCTACACAATATTCATCAATGATTCTTGCAGGAAGATATACATAACCTCCTCTACATTGAATATACACAATGAATAATAACAGTTACGTTTTCGACAGGGATGTTTAAATTAATCCTTCGACTGGGAATCATTCGCAAAGGTACGTCATACAGTCTTTCGTGAATTTTTTTCTTCAACACCCGACATTCCCAAGGATGACTGGCAAGAGAATTACGTCGTGAATATGGGTCGCCTGCCTCGTATCTCTGACAAGTTATATTATAAATTCATTCGAAGACGAGATCTCTGCAAACGAAATTATTGATTTTCGAAATACCGTGTCAAATAATCTTTCTAATTCGTCTGACAGATTCGGCCGATCGGGTTAGTCCTTACTTCGCCGAGCGATTTCGGTTCGATATCATTCTTCGACATTCGACCATCTTGAATTTCCGTGAAACGTTCACCACCCCTTACGTAGAAACAATACACATTGTATTTACGAACTGACGCTTTGAGAGAAAAAAGAATAGAAAAAAGGGAGGATCGTCAGTCGTTACACCTTCGATGGACGGTTTTCGCCGGAACGGAAAATAAACGACACACATTTGGCCTGTTACAGGATCGACTGCACACAAAAATGACACGACCGGAAATGGAAGGCCGGCTCCCCTTTTGGCGGAACCCAGATACGGCGCCGCGCCCCAGCCATACGGTAAGTTTCCCCCATGGTTCCACCCACTCTCTCTGTTTCTCCCTTTAATAGTCAAATTAACGGCGCCCAATTTGGACAAACGGACGACGGGGGCCGTCCAATAGATGATTACAAATTCTTGTTTTCTTTTCTTTCTTTATTCGAACGCTCGTGAAAAAAAAAACAGGGACCACGTAATAGCACGTAGCTCGTCGAAGAAGTTCGGCGACCAGTAATTTCCTAACCAGTCATCCGTGAATCGGGAATGGGGTTGGTAATTTTCTCACTGTGTCAGTAAGAACATCAACTCTACTGACTATATTGCGATCTAATCGATCAAATTTCCATTCCTATTATTGCAATCGTTTCCTGGTCAATTATTTTTTGTGTGGAGGAATGTTAAAGAGAATAGGAAATGGTGTGTAAAGCTGCGTCTACGCTATATAACAAAAGAGTGTTATATAACAAATGGTTATACAACTTTGATATACAACATGTTCTTATAACTTGTTACAAAATGATACCTTTTGGACAACTCCGTAACAAGTTTGTATAACATTTCGCATCTCATTATTAATGATGGCGTCACACTTGATGCGTAACGTGTAACTTGCTATGTAACACAAAAAATGTTATATAACATTTTTCTTTCTGTTAATCTAACAAGTTTTATAACTTTTCTATATAACTTGTTATACTATATAGTGTAGACGCAGCTTTATACAGAAAAGAGACTTTTAATTAATTTATTATTATCCTTGTTTCAAGAACAGGGTCTTTTTAGATTTCAAATATTATTCATTAATTCTGTGTTATCGTGTAACTTACAAGTCTACCGAAAGAGGTGCCCGGTTTCCGATTCGGAACGACCGGAAATTATTACTGCGAGCGATCGGCGAAGGGGTAACCAGACCGAAGGAATTTCGAACGAAAAATCAGTGGTAATTGCAGCAGAGTTATGTCGGGCTCGAGCTATCGAAACCATAACTGCAAACGAAACCCAATATCTCGCGACATTGACTTAAAGAATAGACGGCCAATACCGGGGTGGGGGTGGACTTCCGTAACGAAAGGTTCTTGATCGATTGTTAGCCGACGAACAACAAATCGGGGCTCTGTATCGAGCTGAATTGTCTGCGATGAAAAACGTCGCACGACGACACGATCTATAAATCCCTTCGAATCGTTGCGATATACTTTATTTTATTTTATTCGACATATTCGTATAAGATATTCCTACAGAGAAAGCGTATACACAAGTGTTTCCCGTGTTCGATCGGCAATTTGCTCGTCGAACAATATCCATTCCGCAGACTCCATTCGTCGTCACAAGCGAACGATGTCCACGCGATTAACGGACGGGAAGGGGGACACACAAGCTTCCCTCGATTTCCATAATTAGCGCGACTGAATGCGAGAGTGCCGAGCGCGACAATGATGACCAGATTCAGATCTGCCCCGACAAAAGGCATCAAATATCCTCTCTTCTCTTTGTTCCAGGATCCACGCCACAGGTAACTTTCCCACCGGGCGCCGGTCACGACCGTTACGAGGAGAATTTCAATGGACCGGCAACGTATGCGGAGCCGTACGTCGAGCGTTACGGTATTAAGAGTGACTTCAGCGGTCGAGAGCCCCTACATCCCACGCCGCCCCGGCCCGGTTACGTACCCACCCTAGGACAGACGCCACCGTCAAGTGCGCAGGGCTCCGTGATGATGGTGTACGGCCTGCAGCCGGATAAGGTCAACACTGACAAGCTCTTCAACCTGTTCTGCCTGTACGGAAACGTGACAAAGGTGCGTGGCAACGTCCGATTATAATACAGATACCAAAAGCATCTGGTGGTCCAAGATCTTTAGCATAACTACCCGGTTACCACCCCCATGACTGTTCATCTGTTTTATCTAGTGTGTCTCACGTGTCTTCAAGCTAATCGGTATTCGTTAGGAGTGTTAGATTTTAATACTGTGGATGTTAATCGTCTTTTCGAGGTATAGAATATCTATTAAATATCAGAGACTTTTGACCCTGAGGAACCAGTACTGGGTTACGGTAACTCAGTCTGTCCTACTGTGTGGTGTTTTGTAAATCTGATATTTTATGAGATATAGGCAAAAGAATGGATTACACTAACCCATGTGTAGTCGAATTAGTAGGGAAATGTAGTGTGGTCTTTGAGGATTAACTTCTGTCGTACATGTAATTCTTATTTTTCGATATCCAGTAGAGTAATTCAAACTTGATGCTTATTTCGAGTGAGCTGAAAAGTTCGGACCATAAAGGAGCACTTCTCTTAAGGATAGAGGATATGATTTGTCGTAGCTACAACAAGTCGAAGTTGCACAGACGTTGCAACTGTCGTTCAGACGGTCGAAGTGACCTAGATTGTACGATCAGTTGTACGACAAATCGTATCATCTATAAGGCGTTTTACTCGCCAAGTAACTCTACCTTTGCTTCCAATTTTTGCAAAGGAATTAAAGCAATCGTACAAAGATCGGATAACTCAAGCAACATAGCCCCAGGTTTTATTACATCCTTTTGGTTCCAACTTCTCAGCTAGCAAGAGTACTTCACAAACCTGTCCCATCACAGAGTTGTTTGCTAAAGGAAATATTTATTACAAGAATACCACAGCTTCCAAATCTGAATGAATGTTTGAAATTCATCTCCGGTCTATTAGTGCTCCCCGATAACCCTGGCCTCGTACACGTTTCTGTCACAGGTCAAGTTCTTGAAGACGAAAGAGGGATGCGCGATGATCCAGATGGGCGACAGCATAGCCGTGGAACGGTGTTTACAGAATCTGAACAACGTCACGATCGGCACGGACGGCAGGTTGCAGCTGGGATTCTCGAAACAGGCTTTCCTCTCAGACGTCACCAACCCTTACATTCTGCCCGACAAGACTGCGAGTTTCAAGGATTTCACGGGAAGCAAGAATAACAGGTGAGCTTGAACAACCGTTGTGCTCCTAGAATATTCCAGCCACCCATTTACGAGCACGGTCCATTTTTCTTCCTCTCTTCTATTTCCGGAATCAGTCACTTTTCCAAGCGATGTTCTTCGTTCCGTTTACACGTCGACCTCGTTTTCACGTTTGATCCGCGAATTTTCCACGACGTCGTGTCAGAGACAAGAATGTTCAGCTGGATGGTGACCAGGTGTTTCTCGAACTTATATCGATCCATCGAGACAGTAGTCTCCGCTATTCTAATCAGCTTCCCGACGCAGGCTTCATCAGTTTCCTCCTCCCTCCCACGGGCTGAATGAAACGTTAACGAGAAACCCCCACGTTTTCTGTCGACGAAATTTCCATATAGAACGAAATACCGATGCACAGCAATTAATGATGTTCTTCCTTACGGCGGGGGGGCCTCGAAGCCCCCACCCCATCGCGGCCAGCAATATTTACCCGATGAAAACTTAATTACGTCCGGGTTTTTGAATGTTCCCGCTTAAGCTACCCCCGGTCTCTTGATTGCGAGGAATTAATTACCGGGCCATAGAAGCTTTAGAATCTATGCTCGAAATTCTCCGATTTCGATAAACTGGAGCCTCGATTCGCCTACTTTCGAAGGCCAGTAATAGCTTGCCGCTTAAAGTTAGTCTCGTTAGATTGGAATCTTGTGCACAGAGATGTACAGCTTCTGGGAATTCGCGAAGAATAAGTGTCGAACCAGTTTGTCTGAGATTCTTCTGTATTTATTTCTGGGGGCTTCCCGACACTGGCAAAGGCTCCTCGACACTGAACATTAAATATTTCATAAACTAATGGCCATATGCGGCTGAAACAAATATTACTAGCTTCGGAATTCTAAGCTCTATCATTGTGCTAAACCTCATTAAAATGTTAGCATTAAACGTGGGTATGATATTTAGCACATCAGTTGATCGAAGAGGCAAATAATCATAATAATTCTACTCAAATATAGAGTGTATTTTATTATATACTCACTATGTTAAGATACTATACGAACGATAATACCTACGTTTGTCTGACGCGTACCCGTTGTTGTCGATTGCAGGTTCCTAAACCCAGCGATGGCCAATAAGAATAGAATACAACCACCATCGAAGATAGTCCATTTTTTCAACACTCCCCCGGATTTAACCGAGGAGACCGTACACCGTGTCTTCGTCGAACGCGGCATCGAGGCGCCGACGACGGTGAAACTGTTCCCCTTAAAATCGGAACGATCGTCGTCTGGCCTTATCGAGTTCAGCAGCGTCGGTATCGCGGTAGCTGCCATCATGGAATGTAATCACACAGCGCTCGAAAACAGCAGTAAGTACGCTCTAACGTTCTCACGTGCCAGTGGACATTATACCCTAAGTGATTTAAATTTTCATTACATTTTGGAAATTATTGCTCGACCCTCTGTAACTCGATTTTATTTCTTTTTAAGCGACATTCCGTAACGGATTTCCCTAATCGTGAAAGAACAACTTCTTACATTAAATGGACACTACTCCAGACGTAGGATAAAAATTGTAAACATCACAAATGATCTGGAGTTCTACAGTTCTCACTGTTGAGACTATTCGGATGTATGCCGTGACCATGTTAAACTATTTTCCCAACGTTTCGCAAGCATTGCAGCTAGCTTCGTCAAGATTCGAATTTAATAGTTACCCCTATATATTACCCGTCGAAACCACGAATTTCCGATACGCACTTATTAGGGTTCTCGAACAGTAGGTACCTTCGTCACGTGTCCGACGGATCTGTTTCAGATGGCAAGTTCCCGTACATCATGAAGCTGTGCTTCTCGTCGTCCCGCACCATACCGACCAGCTTCCCGCCGAGCAGCGGCAGCCAGTCGAGCAATTCCGCCGGTAATGGCCACGCCAAAATGCAGCAGGACTCGGAATAGAACGGCGAGGTCCAGGGCCAGCAGCGTCAGCGTCAGCGCCAGCGTCCCTCTCTCGCCCTGCACCCGTTGTGTGCCCCGACGGGGACGGCCCTGCACCCAGCCGCAGCGATTACACTGTCACCGGTTCTACCGCCGCCTGTGCCGCCGCCCTTGCCGCCCGCCTGCGTCCTGATAGCCACGCCGACACTCTATCCGACCGTGCCGCCGCCGCCACCGCCTCCGTTGCCCACGTTCTGGCCGTACTGAGTTGAATCCAGGGAGGAGAAACACAGCGGGCCTAGACGGTGAACAACGACGAGCCGTGTAAACGACGACTTATCTTGTCACCGTCATAAATCTTGCTCCTCCCCGTAGCATCCAAGCCGCAACGGATTGGATCATCATCGGACCCCATGTCACTGGTAATATCCATGACGGTATGGTCCGTGGACGGGATAATTTAGGGGGTTCCGATTCAAGGGTCGGAGGACCGACGACGCGACGGAGCTTATTATTTGTTCGCGTAAGTCGAGGACCAGAAGAAACCGAGAAACGTCTGACGCGCGGTTTGCTCGAAGAGAGAGACACGTCCAGGGAGGATATCGTCGCCGTCCACGGGGACGACGATGATATTACACTCTCCTGATCGTCAACAGGGTTGGGAAGGGAACACCAGTGCATCCATGGGTAGACTGCTCGTAAGAAGAAGAAGAAGAAGAAGAAGGTCATCGAGGATCGTCCGCTAGCCCGAGTGGAAGTGTGTCCTGGCGAAAATCGAGAGGCAGCGATGTTTCTGATTATATACAACACACACACACACACTGCTCTGTTGTGTCTCTTGTCTTTTTTTTTCTTTCTTCTGGTTTCTTTCTTTTGTTTCTTTTTTTTTTTCATTTTTTTTTTTTGTTTTACCATTTTCCTTCTGGTTGTTACGGCGCGAGAACCGCCCCGGGTGTGTACACACCGTGGCTTACTCTCGTGCGGAAGATCCCGTGTGTCGAAGATTCCGTGACCACATCGGTGTCTCGTGAACCCCCCCGTTTAATACGTAAGTTAGTGTCAGTATTATGTCTTGAAGCGAGAGATCCTCTTCGCGAAAGATGGCGTGCGAAGCTTGTGTGAGTGAAGTAAGATAACTCGCAGACGGAGAGAGAACTGGAGAGAGAGGGAAGTAGGGAAGAAGAGGATTCGCCTCGTCGGTCGTTCTTCGCGGAAGCTTCTTTCCTTCGGTGGAACGCTGAGGATCGATCGTGCAAAGGATTGTCTTGTATATAATAGCTCGGGAGAGTGGGCCGTCTAATGGGAATCTGCCGTCGTCGGGCACGGATTACATATCAAGGGCCGAGCGAGGAACCCGGAGGGAGGAAGCACGATCCGCGTGAAAGCATCAGAGGGATCACTTTTGACGGCCTGATGTGGCGTATACCAAGAGGAATTCGAAATGACCGCGGATCGATGGTTTCTCCCGCTATCGGACATCCTGCTTAATCGGCCCAGCGTATGACGTTTTCACGTTTCACACACACACATACATACACACATCATCGTGCGGCCATTTTCTTTAGTAGTTTACTCGCGTTTTGGTTTCGCAGCGACGCTCGCGCCCGTCTGATTCAAATAACGCGTTCATACTGACGCAAGCACGAACACATACACACATAGACACCATGTGTATATGTGTATATATATATATATATATATATATATATATATATATATATATGCATACGAACGCGTGCGAAAGAGAGACGAATGGGGACAAACACCTTCGACACATTTTCGAAGTGCACCACGCGCGGTTCCTCGTTGACCATTTTCACATATTGTATATCTGTGGGATCCAAGTAAATCGGAGGTTCCTTATCGACCATTAGAAACTATATATACACGCTGGATACAGTTTCAAAACAGAGAGAGAGAGAGAGAGAGAGAGAGAGAGAGACGGAGAGAGAGTGTTCAGAGGATCTGGAACTATCGC